CTCGACCAGCTCGGAACACGGTCGGTGCAGGCCGTCGAGACAGCCGACCGTCTCCCTCGACCAGCTAGGCACACGGTCGGCGCAGCCAGGTCGAGGGGCCAAGAGCGCAGGTAGTCCGGTCGTCCCCCTCGATCACCTGGGCACACGGTCGGTGCAGGCCGTCGGGACAGCCGGCAGTCTCCCTCGACCAGCTCGGAACACGGTCGGTGCAGGCCGTCGAGACAGCCGACCGTCTCCCTCGACCAGCTCGGCACACGGTCGGCGCAGCCAGGTCGAGGGGCCAAGAGCGCAGGCCGGCCGGCAGCCTACCTCGACCAGCTCGGAACACGGTCGGTGCAGGCCGTCGAGACAGCCGACCGTCTCCCTCGACCAGCTAGGCACACGGTCGGCGCAGCCAGGTCGAGGGGCCAAGAGCGCAGGCCGGCCGGCAGCCTACCTCGACCAGCTCGGAACACGGTCGGTGCAGGCCGCCGAGCCAGCCGGCCGTCTTCCTCGACCAGCTCGGCACACGGTCGGCGCAGCCAGGTCGAGGGGCCAAGAGCGCAGGCCGGCCGGCAGCCTACCTCGACCAGCTCGGAACACGGTCGGTGCAGGCCGCCGAGACAGCCGACCGTCTCCCTCGACCAGCTCGGCACACGGTCGGCGCAGCCAGGTCGAGGGGCCAAGAGCGCAGGCCGGCCGGCAGCCTACCTCGACCAGCTCGGAACACGGTCGGTGCAGGCCGCCGAGCCAGCCGGCCGTCTCCCTCGACCAGCTCGGCACACGTTCGGCGCAGCGAGGTCGAGGGGCCAAGAGCGCAGGCCGGCCGGCAGCCTACCTCGACCAGCTCGGAACACGGTCGGTGCAGGCCGTCGAGACAGCCGACCGTCTCCCTCGACCAGCTCGGCACACGGTCGGTGCAGCCAGGTCGAGGGGCCCAGCGCGCAGACCGGACGGCAGTCTCCCCTCGACTAAGTTACACGAAAGAAAAAAATGGAATTGTCACTTAAGCTTTCCGAGGGTCCCAGCCGGCAGAACTGTCTCGACCCGCTCGGCGGACAGTCAGTGCGGACCTCCATTCCTCCGATTTTGACCCCAGACTGAAGGTTCTGTAAAGGGTATATCCCAACTACCCCACCATCTGAGTTGGAATTTCGGTCAATTACAAAAGTCGCTTTTCTCCGAATTCTGACCATATCTTTCATAATTATAGGAGTTAAGAGACCAAACCTTCAGGAAAGTTTTTCTGGGGTCTGGTCTACAATCCCTGAAAATATGGTGCCCCGGGGGGGTCGGGTTCGGGAGGTATGAAAAAAGTCTACATTGTCACTGACTTGGAACTTTCCGACCTCATTGCCATTTTGATTGTATCTTTCGTACTCTTAGGCGTAAGTGGGTGTTCTTGGTATCAAAATGTTCGTCTCGACAAGAGGAAAAAAACTACGTACTACACTCCTCCCCATCATGCACAGAAATATTTCACATTGAAAAAAGGGAGTGTCACTTAAGCTTCTCTCAAAAAAGACATAATTTCAAAAATTCACTACTCGAACCCTGGGACACACAGGTCTAATTTATCCCCCCAGGATTGTAGCGCTTGTCTAGGCCTTTCTTTTGATACCAAACAGGTTAACCTACTCTAAGGCATAAGGCGTGCACTCTCAAAATGGCAATTTTACATTGAAAAAATGGAAGTCACTTAAGCTATGCGAGGGGCCCAGTTCGCAGACCAGCCGGCAGTCTCCCTCGACCAGCTCGGTAAGCAGTCGCTGCAGCCACGTCGAGGGGCCCAGAGCGCAGGCCGACCGGCAGTCTACCTCGATCAGCTCGGCAAACAGTCGCTGCAGCCAAGTTGAGGGGTCCAGAGAGCCAGGCGGTCGGCAGTCTCCCCTCGACCAAGTTGCACAGTGTCACTTAAGCTATGCGAGGGGCCCAGCGCGCAAACCAGCCGGCAGTCTCCCTCGACCAGCTCGGGAGACAGTCAGTGCAGCCAGTCGAGGGGCCCAGCACCTCGATTAAGTTGCACTGAAAAATGGAAGTGTCACTTCAGGTATCCGAGGGGCCCAGCGAGCAGGTCAGCCGGCAGTCGACGGGCTGCACCGACCGTCTGCCGAGCTCCTCGAGGAAGAATGCCGGCCGGCCTGCGCGCTGGGCGCCTCGACCTGGCTGCACCGACTGTCTGCCGAGCTGGTCGAGGGAGACGGCCGGCTGTCTCGACGGCCTGCACCGAACGTGTGCCCAGGTGGTCGAGGGGGACGACCGGACTACCTGCGCTCTTGGCCCCTCGACCTGGCTGCACCGACCGTGTGCCCAGCTGGTCGAGGGGGACGACCGGACTACCTGCGCTCTTGGCCCCTCGACCTGGCTGCACCGACCGTGTGCCCAGCTGGTCGAGGGAGACGGACGGCTGTCTCGACGGCCTGCACCGACCGTGTGCCGAGCTGGTCGAGGGAGACGGCCGGCTGTCTCGACCTGGCTGCACCGACCGTGTGCCCAGCTGGTCGAGGGGGACGACCGGACTTACTGCGCTCTTGGCCCCTCGACATGACTGCACCGACTGTCTGCCGAGCTGGTCGAGGAAGACGGCCGGCTGTCTCGACGGCCTGCACCGACCGTGTGCCGAGCTGGTCGAGGGAGACGGCCGGCTGTCTCGACCAGGCTGCACCGACAGTGTGCCCAGCTGGTCGAGGGGGACGACCGGACTTACTGCGCTCTTGGCCCCTCGACCTGGCTGCACCGACCGTGTGCCGAGCTGGTCGAGGAAGACGGACGGCTGTCTCGACGGCCTGCACCGACCGTGTGCCGAGCTGGTCGAGGGAGACGGCCGGCTGTCTCGACCAGGCTGCACCGACCGTGTGCCCAGCTGGTCGAGGGGGATGACCGGACTACCTGCGCTCTTGGCCCCTCGAACAGGCTGCACCGACCGTGTGCCCAGCTGGTCGAGGGGGACGACCGGACTACCTGCGCTCTTGGCCCCTCGAACTGGCTGCACCGACCGTTTGCCGAGCTGGTCGAGGGAGACGGACGGCTGTCTCGACGGCCTGCACCGACCGTGTGCCCAGGTGGTCGAGGAGGACGACCGGACTACCTGCGCTCTTTGCCCCTCGACCTGGCTGCACCGACCGTGTGCCCA